GAGATAATAATGCTAACTCATTTGGTTGATATTAAGATTAAATTAAATATGACAATGTATGCAAAATACCCATCACAGTACCTGGTACATACTAAGTGCACAATAAATGGCAAATAATGATAAATACTCCTGTGCCTGGATTATAGTCAGCACACCTCCATAGATCCTTTCCAATCATCCTGACTCCTGGCTGTCCCCTGAGGACCCTGCTTCTGCCGCAGACTTTGAGTTGAGGCTGCTTGTTCTTCCTCTGTCAGTTCAGGGTCTTGCCAGAAATAGCAGCCTCACTCAAAGCAATGAGGAGAGCTTAATAACAGAACACAGAGGCCAACCCGTGTGGATCAAGGAGGAAGAGAGTGGATGGAGTAAGTGCCTTTCTCCTCCCATGCTCCAATCTCCTGCTGGTGCCTGCAATTGGCTGAGTCCAGCTGAAAGCCAGAGGGCCGGGGAGCCCATTGATCTTGTCCATAAAGGTTAGTCTTGAGGGGCCTGGAGCAGGATACAAGAGTGATCTGGAGGAGCAAGAAGAGAATATCCAGCACATCCCCACCTCAGAATCCTTGGGTTCTGGAGGTGGACCACATCCTCCTCATGCCCTAATGATTCTTTCAGATCACTTGTCCACAGATCACCTGGAGCTTGTATTTATCCTCTGTTGACACTCTGTCCTCTATTTCTAGCTGTTCTTCAGCACTATTAATCTTCTGCTCACTGCTTCTCTTTCACTGAAGCCTCAGGATTCCTCTCCAAGTCCTGCTGTCATCCTGGTGACACCAAGTTAATGTGAGTAGCCCAGTCAACATCCAGGACTCTCAGTTTCTAGGCTTCCTCATTTTTAGTGACTTCCAGCTTCCTTCCTCTTTAGCCATCAACCATATGACCACACCCAAATTCTTGTTAGCAGCTAGAGAAGCTCCCCCTAGGAAATGACAAATTCACATATCCCTATCAAGAACTGTGAGGGCTCTGAACAAGTTAGCCTGACACAGTTTTATGGATGCTGGTAGAAAACACAGAATCTTGGGTCAAAGATGAAGTACAACTTATTAGAGCAATAGCATTAGCCAGAATATCAATATTTTTGTGTTGATTCCCTGGGTTCCAATTCCCACGGGACAATGCAATGAAGGCTAAATGACACCTGCACACTGAGTGGGTTGCATTATAGGAGAGGAATTCTGAGTTTAGGGAACTGAAAACTTCTATAATGGGCAGTAAGCATGCCCTTGCTCTGTCAAGTGATACTAATCTCTATCTTCCAAGGTGTTATGGACCGAATTGTGACCCCCCCCCCATAAAATTTGTATGTCGAGGCTCTAATCCCTAGTGTGATGGTATTTAGAGATGGGGACTTTGGGAGATAATTAGGTGTCGATGAGGTCATGAGGTAGGGCCTCCATGATGGGATTAGTGCCCTTAAAAGAAGAGACACCAGGGAGCTTGCTGTCTCTCTCTGCCATGTGAAGGCAAGGCAGTAAGTCAGCCATCTGCAACCAGGAAGAGAACTCTCACCAGAACTTGACCACGCTAGTGCCTTGATCTCAGATTTCCAGCCTCCAGAACTGTGTGAGAGAAATTTCTGTTGTTTAACCCACCCAGACTATTGTATTTTCTTTTGGCAGCCCAAGTAGACTAAGATGCAAGGCTATAAGCAAATATGCCCCTTTGCTCTGGAAGAAAATGCCTTTATCTAAAGGTTGTTTGCTTGCTTACCACTTCTGTTCAACTGAGTAAATGTGAAGATCTCAATTAGATCTTTATTTAATGATTCATGAATTGGACAGTATCCCATCTTAGCAGTTAGAAAGGAGGTCTCAGGACCCGTCCAAAATTGAAGCTTATTATAGGCAGAAGGGGGAGGAAAAAGAAAGCTTCTAGCAAAAGAGTGGATTGTTTCAGGCAAGGTCACCTTCATCTGGGGGAAGCTGTGGGTCTATCAGGCAGATTACCCGACTAGTGCTGACCAGGTAATTCCAGATTGACTGGTTAAAGGACACATTCCCGGGAGAGGCTGAAAATGCAATTAGGTTACGTATTAAGTCTTGTTTTCCTGATATGGGCCTTAGCACAGGTGACTCCATTTTGGCCTTGTTGTTTCTTTTTTAATGCTATTAAAATGGTAGATACCCTAAGCTCAGTGTTCTTCAGTTGAGATGCAAAACCACTGCATGTTCAGCATCCATCTGGCCCTGTAGGACTTGCAGAACAAGAGGAGCCCCTGCAAACACGATGCACGTGATGCTTGTTGTGCTGTGGGTAATAAAGTCTTTTCTTTCTGACCCAGGAGTCTCCTGTTTTCTGCCAGCATCCAAACTAATTAGCTTGCAAATAGGGTAAAATCAAATCTCATAGTTGACACCTATGACAGAGCCAAAGTTAATTTATTTTAGTTTCTCAAAGAAGTCATGCCCTGGAAGACATCACAAATGCCACTTTCTCTACCTAGAACATTTCATCCCTTCTCTTCTCCTGGTAACTACCATCAGTTTCTCTGGGAAGCCTTCTCCCCTGCCTCCCGTTCCTTATCCCTTGACAGCATTATTTCCCCCTCCTCCAAACCCCCAGAGAGCCTTCTGCTTCTCTGACCATAGCACTTCTTCCAATGTATTGTAATTGCCTGTTTATTTACTTGGTCCCTTCTTCCCCTGTAGAGTAGGATCTCTGTGAGGACAGAGATAGTGTCTTCTAAAATATATCCCAGATCTAGTACATTGCTGGGCATACTGTAGGTGTTTAATAAGTATTTATGGAATGAATGTGGTGTTATTATACTGATATGCATAAAGCAGTATTAAAACACAGATGAAGGTCATCTAAATCAGCATGAAGGTCTAAGAGGAAAGCCTTAAAGGAAACCAAAATGTCACCCCCAAGTATGACTCTTTGACATAAAAGTTATTTTGAGCTGAAGGCAATCAAGAAGCAGTAAATGCGGAAAAAGCTCCCCCTTTTCTTTCTAAAGGCAGGAAATAAATGTTTCCTTTCATGGAGACAGACATCAGCCCAAAGACTAGAGACCAGTGTAAAAGTAAACTCAAAATGGAGTCGGTGTTGCTAAGAGAGCCCTCTAAAATACAGCTGGGAGATCATTGAGGAAGTGTGACTTATGCACATCTCAGCCTGGATGGAATCTGACCTTTTGACCACTTATTGTCTTAACACCGGCATCCAGAATATCTATCCAGTGTTCCAGAAACTCAAGATAATTATTTGACTCACCCTAAAATTAACTCATGACAGCCTACCTACTTATTTGACCCTTACCCTAGAATAACTAGTGAGAGCCTGTCCCTTAAGGAATATTGCCCTAAGGGATTGCCTGAGAGTCCAACATAATTCTTTTTTTTGGCTGTGTGGCTTGTGGGATATCAGTTCCCTGACCAGGGATTGAACCCAGGCCATGGAAGTAAAAGCCCAGAATCCTAAACGCTAGGCCACCAGGGAACCCTCTAATTCTTGAACAACCTTGTGGCTTTTGCCTTTATAAGCCCCTGATTCCTTCTCTTCCCTGGAACACTCTTGGTTTTACCCTAATCTGTGTCTCTGAATTGCAGTTCTTGAGACCCTAAATAAAGGGTCTTTGCTCTTTGCAGCTGTGATATTATTATGAATACTAATTATTAATATTATTATTGTTCAACAAGAGACACTGGTGTAATCTGCAAACAAGCTTTGTTAACCTCTCATCTTCCTACTTAAGGAAGATAAGGACTACCTAGCCTTAGTTGGACTACTCCTAGTCCAAGCCCCATTGTCTTGTCAATTCTTCACAAATTGTTTCTTTGTAGAAAAGGTATAAAAACTTCCTGCTCTGGTCACTTCTTCTGGTCTTCATTCTCTTTCGAAGACTCCCATGTACATGTAAAAAATCAATAAACTTTGTGTGCTTTTCTCCTGTTAATGTCTTTGTCACTACCTTTCAGACCTGGCCAGGGACCCTAAGAGGTTGGAGGAAAACTTTTTCCTACAGCTTCCTAGAGGAGGTGACGATTCAAGTTGATCTGGAGGACAAATTTGTTAGTAGGCAGAGAAGGGAAGGGTGTTTCAGGCAGTGAGGATGGTATATGAACTCGGGAGAAGTAGGGACTGGAAAAGTAGTGCCTTTCAGAAACTGCAGGGGCTTCCCTGGTGGCGGTGGTGATTGGGGGTCCGCCTGCCGATGCAGGGGACACGGGTTCGTGCCCCGGTCTGGGAAGATCCCACATGCCGCGGAGCAGCTGGGCCCGTGAGCCATGGCCGCTGAGCCTGCGCGTCCGGAGCCTGTGCTCCGCAACGGGAGAGGCCACAGCAGTGAGAGGTCCGCGTACCGCAAAAAAAAAAAAAAAAGAAAGAAAAGAAAAAAAGAAACTGCGGATGTTTCAGTATGACTGCAGCTAGGGTCAGAGGGAGGGATGGAGTGGCAGGAAATAAAGCTGACGGGTAGGCAAGAGCTGACCATGAAGTTTGAATTTTATCTAGAATCTAGATTTTCATGTCACGCTTGGACTTTTTGTTAAAGGCACATCCTCTTCAGCGTATCATAACGTGAAATGGTGGGCAGAAAAAAGAGTAGTAATTTAAGAAAACTTGGGCTGCAACATTGGTTCCTCCACTCACTTCTCTCTGGGCCTCAGAACCACGGTAAAAAACAAAAAAGCAGTAATAACATCTATCTTAGGAGTTTTGCGAGGATTAAATGCAGTAACTTAGGTAAAAGTACATGGCATCATTCAATAAATTCGTTTTTCCCCCTCTTTTCCCTGTGGGTCAGTAGGGTGGAAGCCTGGCCGCTTTCGCACGCCCCTCCCAGGTCCAGGCTGGACACTGCCGGGAGAACTGCTGCCGACCAGACTGCTGCCGACCGGCGGGTCCCTCTCCCTCAGGTTGGTCCGGCCTGGGATCGGCCGCACGGGGGCGCGCTAGGCTGCCCCTCGGCACTCTGTGGTTCTTCCTTTCGCCCCGGAAGTGGTTCCGGGCCGGGTTTGGTAAGGTCGGGCCATGGTGGGGCAGAGGTTGGGAAGATGGCGTGGCGAGGCTTGGCGCAGAGAGGCTGGGGCTGTGGTCAGGCGTGGGCTCCGCCAACGGGCGGCCGCAGCTGCGAGGAGCTCACTGCGGCCCTGGGTCAGCCGCGGCTGCTCGGGCGCAGGTAATGGTCGCGTCTCGGGGCTTCTCGTTTCTCGTGCCCTCGGCTCAGGCAGCGCATCCTGAGGGGCGGAGGCCGTGCGGTTCTCTTATGCTGCCCCGGCTCACCCTCTCTCTTCACCAGCCCCTCCTCTCTCCCTCCCCCTTTACCCCTCGCCTGCGTCCAGTCCTCGCCTCTCGCCGCGCCACCCTGCCCGGGTGCACAGTGACCACCCCCGGCCCAACTCTCCGTGACCCCGCGGTGGCCCCTTTCCCATCCGGAGGGACGTGTCGGGAAGGAGAAGTAATCTGTGAGGGCTGATTGCGCACCACGCCTCATAATCCTGTGAGCAAGTAAAGAGTTAACACAGCTGGCAGCAGGGCTGAGATTTTATTCTGTCAGTCTTTATAAAACCTTTGTTTTACTACAAATTACCTTTATCGTTTAGAGAACTCTAAGGGAAGACGGAGTCAGGAGGGCATCACTTTGCCTCTTGCAGAGTTGTAGGAGAGGCTTTTCTGTTAAAGAAATTGGGAAGTGGAGTATTTGGTTTCTAGATGACTTGGGAAGAAAAGTCAATTTTTCCCGAGTAGAAGCTGTATGAAGAGTACGGTCTATCAGTATTTGCTGCTTTTGCATTAGAGTAATTCAACTCTAAATTGAGAGAAGAGAGAAATCCCTGAACTAATATTCTGATGTGTATTTGGCTCTGAAATTTCTTCCTGTTCTTTAACAGAATTTCAGCTCTGCCAGTTTCTGACTTGGTTAGATGTGTGCCTGGAATCCACCTGACTGATAGTAGCAAGGAACATGAAGTGTTTATCAACATGGGGATTAGCCAGTGGGAAATAATTGAGGCTCCAATATGGTGGAGCCATCCTTAATTTTAAAATCACCTGGAGTGTTTTTAGACTGTATTTCCCAGGCCCTATCCCAGTCCTTCCTGTCATCTTGCCCGGTGCTGGGGGGCAGGGAGTGAAAGAACCTGCAGTTCTAAACAAGCACTGCATGTGTGTAGGATCAGAGATTTGTGGAAAACTGGCTTCTATTGTACCTTAACTTCATGGTAACACTGGAACATGGAGCCTCAGGCACTGAGGAGATGGAGAATGAGGTCAGGTGGAGGTGGTGGTTGATTTCAGTGGTCCTGATTCCATTTCCACTTTACTCCAAATCCCAATCGAAATTGCATGGTTTGAGGGGGAGGAAAAGTGAATACAGTTATTAGGAAGCAACAGGTGTTAAATATCCAAGATATGTGTTAGGAAGGGAAAGGAAAAGAACTAACTTGGTTAATGAGGCCATTTAAAAAAAAATCATGTGATGTTGAAGATAAGCATCACAGTTTTTTAGTTTGTCATTTATATACAGAGTTTGAAATTGACAATTTTGTGGTGACACTGAAAAATGTGCATTACAAGAGATTGTAGGTAAGCCTGAAATATAATAGAATATATGTCTACTTTCCTTTAGAAAGCATGAGTTTCCTTGTATATAACTTAATTAGGTCTGCTTTCACTTCTGGTGGTTCTAAAATTAGTATGTGGAGGAATGAAGTCATGGATATGGTTAAAAAGCAGAGGTCTGAGCTCAGCCCTTGTGATTTTGATGTGATGGGCCTGAAGTGTGGCTGAGAATTTGCATTTTTTTCTTCTTACAAGAACTACAGGTGGTGATATTCCTCAAAATTTCTGCAAACAATAGCAGGCCCAAGGCAGCCCACCAGCCAAGAATGGTTTCTATGTCTTTAAAGGGTTGCAAAACGAAACACTATGCCGCAGAGTTTTAAATTGTTCTTCACAAAGACTAAAATGTTTATTGTCTGGCTCTTTACAGAAAGAAGAGACTATTTCACTTAGGGTTTTCAGAAACTTGTACCATGATCAAACTGTTGGCAGCACTGCTGAAAAATGGTTTAGGTCTGAAAGAAGCCTGCATAATTTGTCAGTTGTATAGAACTAGCTAAGAGAAGAAAATAGTTGATTGTAGCACTTAACACGGAGCTTAAATCTTTTAGATTAGGATAACAATCTTAAGATATATTTAGGTTAAATACCTGACAAATTAGTAAATCAGGTATATTCAATTATTTTCCCCGTTTAATTCACCATGTATTAACTCAAGATGAGTTTTAAGAAAATAATTGTGGCATGCAAGAGTTTATGCCTCTTCCCCTAAATACAACTATTTTCTTTTAAGTGGGATGAGTCTGTTTTGTGTGTGCTTGGACACGTCTTGTCTCCATTTGCACAATAGGCCACTTCTATTCAGTTTATTCACACAAATCTATAGTAACATAGACATTAGTGCTGACTTGTACGATATCTAAGTGGCATTGTCTTTATCCTCACACTGTTGAAAACAATTCACTAGACTGTGTTATCTCACTCACCACTAAGGCAACAGATATATAGACATGACTTTTCTATTTAAAAGTTACGGGATGATATTAAAAAATGGAACCATAACAATTGTGTGGTTAGTGGTAACTCAAGCATTCATAAGATCTTCCCACTTTGAGCACGTTACATTGCTTTCACAAATCACTAGTTATTGGCAGAAGGACCAAAGCACAGAGCAAAAAGGCAGGCTTGTCCTCATGAGTTGGTATATACCTCTTGTGACTCTTTCCTCCCATCCCACCCCCATGCATTTTATTGTGTTGCTTCCTTTGTTTTCCAGACTTATTTCAGGTCATTTATTTTTCCATATTACCTACCCATATGAATGGTTAGAGCTTAAGAACCTAGGCCTTTAAATATGATATAAAACATTTGCAATTGGAGACATTTATTACACTTTTCCTGGTTGGTTTTACTTTTAAGAAATGTAAAACAAAAGCTCACTAAGGACAGAGAACGTACCTTGTCATATAATGTGTGATGAAGTACTTATTACATCTAAAAGCATCCTTGTACCAACAGAAAACCCAGCTCTAACTGACCTTAATAATTCGGGGAATTTATTGGTTTATACCGTTAAAAAGTCCAGAGGTGAGCCTGGCTTCTGGTGAGGCAAGATCCAGTGTTTCAGATTGTCACCAGGACTCCATTTTCCTCCATGGCTTGGCTCTGCTTCCTAAACGTTGGCTTTATGATCTCAGTATGCTATCTCCTTGTTGTAAGATGGCTGTCAGCAGCTCTTGGGGCTATATACGTGTAGGTTCAAGTCCAGCAGAAAAGATTCTCTTCCCCAGTATTACAAACAAAATCTTGAAATTTGAATTTCACTGAACTGGATTGGCCTAACTTGGGAGGCATGTTCATCTTTGAATTCCTTAAAGTTGCCAGGGATGTGGGACGTGTAGGTTCGCTTAAGCCAGTCAGGAGCTTGGTGTGCCTCCCCAAACCAAGTGGCTGGAAATTCCAGGGTACCCTTAGGTGCGGATGCTAGGATTGAGCCAAAAAAGCTCACTGTCAGTCCTAGTGAAACTTTTGTATTGGAATACTTTGGTTACAAATCCTAATTTTAAAATTCTAGTCAGATAGGATTAACCTGTAGATAACCATTGTAATTTAAGTAGAAATGTTGTTGGAAGGATGAGGGATTAGATTCTAGCTCCTGCTATTCAAAGTGGTTCATGAATGAGCAGTTCAGGACAGGGTTTGCCAAACATTTTGTAAATGGCTCGATAGAAAATAGGGCCACATAGGTCACTGTCAGATATTCTTTTCCTTTTAAACAACTCTTTTAAGCAGTAATAAATGAGACAACTGAGGAAGCTGCTACCAGATCAGGATCTGCTAACCAAAGTAAGAACTATGCTGTCTCCACCATTATTTTCACTAGCAGAAGTCATGCCTCGTGTGCTGCCTCTCACTCAACTCAGTTCTGAATTCAGGTGTTGTGCTGATGTATCTGATTAGCAGGCCCTGATCACATCTTGAATCCTAACCAGAAGGATACCTGGGAAATAGTTTTTAGCTTTCCAGTCCCTGCAGCATGTGAATGTACCATAGGTGAAAGGAATAGGTGTTCAGTGAGCCAAGTCATAGTACTTAGTTCTATCCAACAAGTTCTGTATGTCCAACTCTAATTCCCAGTGTATGTACTCCTAACATGTATTTTGCGTTTGAACTGCATCTGGGGCCAATTTGTTCTTGGAGTCCTCAGTCCCACACTTAACTTCTGTTGAGATTCTCAAGGTAAATATTATTCTAGGCAAAAGGTCTGGCTTTGCGTCAAATCCAGATTCCCAACCTGGTGTATTTGTATTCCTTTTCAAGCATTGTGCTTCAGAATTGTAAATGAGTTGATGAGCTGTAGAAGAACTGATTGAGTACATATCCTGGAGTATTAAGCTGTTGGAGATATAAAGAAATCTCATCCTTCATATTTCTTGGTCCAAAAAGAAAAAAATGAGGCCTACTGGTTAGGATTCTGGGTTCTCACTGCCGTGACCCAGGTTCAATCTTGGTTGGGGAGCTGAGATCTTGTAAGCCACGAGACGTGGCCAAAAAAAAAAAAAAAAGAATACCAGAAACCAACAACATTGGGTTACAATTTTTTTTAACTTATTTATTTATTTTTGGCTGCATTGGGTCTTCGTTGCTGTGCACAGGCTTTCTCTAGTTGCAGCAAGCGGGGGCTGCTTCATGGCGGTGTACGGGCTTCTCACTGCGGTGGCTTCTCTTGTTGTGGAGCATGGGCTCTGGGCACATGGCCTTCACTAGTTGTGGCTCGCGGGCTCAGTAGTTGTGGCTCCCTGGCTCTAGAGCGCAGGCTCAGTAGTTGTGGCACATGGGCTTAGTTGCTCCATGGCATGTGAGATCTTTCCGGACCAGGGCTCGAACCCGTGTCCCCCTGCATTGGCAGATGGAATTTTAACCACTGCTGCCACCAGGGAGGCCCTGGGTTACAATTTGTAACCATTTCCAGGGAAACATTTAAAGGAAACATAGTCCTGTTACTTTATGTCACATCTTTGGGGTTTTTGGCCCAAAGTGGTGTTACTTGTAATTTATTTAGTAGACCTAGCTCTAAATTACTTTGGAATATTTAATAAAAATCAAATCCAATTGCAAAGGATTAACATCTGCCACTTTTAAAGCTGTTATCAGTTAGGAATGCATTTGGCTGTAAGTTAATTGTTGCTTAAAGAAACGAGAGGAATATTTAGCATAAAATGATTGGAGGTAGGTGGCTATTGTTTTTCCTCAGTGGCCCCAAAAAATGTTAAGGTTAGTTTCTGAAGCCCTTGGCCTTTCTCTGGGCATTCAAGATGACTGCCTCATCTCTAGAAAATTGCGTCCTTTTTCAAGGCAAAAAGAAGTGGGAGGGATGTGACATTAGTGATACCTCCAATTTTATCAGATAAGCAAAACCTTTTCAAGAGGTTTCTAAACAGTTAAGTCTCATTTTGTCAGAACTCTGTAATATGGCCATCCCTAGCCATAGGAGAGACTGGTAAAGTGAAGATATTTATCTTTCCTAGCCTCTGCAGAAAAAGCAGGCAACAGAACAAGAACTAGAAATAGATTTGCAATTAGCTATTAAACAGTTACTTGCTAAAGGATATTCATAAGACTGGGAACAGGTTCTGAAGTTCAGAGCCATTCAGAGCAACATTGGCATTGTTTGACTAAGTGTACTGCTTTCCAAAATAGATTTTGTTGAAAGAAGTAGCACTTATTTGTTAGTACAAATTCTAAATTATTAGAAGTTTTAAGGTGAATTACTTTATCATCATCACCCATCCTCACCATGTGATGTCTGAGAAGTTGAACTGTGGCGTAGACTTAGTGTTGAAGACAGAGCATTCTAGGTGAGTAATGGTAATAGTAGCTATACCATTTTTCTGAGTTTCATGTTTCCAAATGCCTGCTAGACATCACCTGGGTGTTCTACCAATGCTAAAAATACTTCATTGCAATATAATTTACATGTAGTAAAACATACAAGTATTAAGCATACAGCCCATTAGTTCTGACAAATGTATACACCTGTGCAACCATCACCTAAAAATAAAGATACTGCCCATCATTTCATCAAGTTCCCTCTTGCCCCTTTCCAGTCAAGTCCCACTTTAGGCAACCACTATTAATTTTTTTTTTTAATATTTATTTATTTATTTTTGGCTATGTTGGGTCTTCGTTGCTGCGCGCAGGCTTTCTCTAGTTGCAGCGAGCAGGGGCTACTCTTCGTTGTGATGCATGGGCTTCTCATTGTGGTGGCTTCTCTTGTTGTAGAGCACGGGCTCTGGGTGCGCGGGCTTCAGTATTTTTGGATGAGGGCTCAGTAGTTGTGGCTCACGGGCTCTAGAACGTGGGCTCAGTAGTTGTGGCGCACGGGCCTAGTTGCTCCACAGCATATGGGATCTTCCTGGACCAGGGCTCGAACCCGTGTCCCCTTCATTGGCAGGTGGATTCTTAACCACTGTGCCACCAGGGAAGTCCACCACTATTGATTTTGGTCACCACAAATTATTTTTGCCTGTTCTTTAGCTAGATATGCATTAATGGAATCACACACATTATGTGCTCTTTTGTGTTTGACTTCTTTTACTCAGCAGTGTTGTTGAGATTCATCCATGATGTGTGATCAGTAGTTTTTCACTGAGTGATACAGTTGGCCTTCTGTATCTCCAGGTTCCTCATCCATGTATTCAAACAACTGTGGATGGGGAATGTTACTGTATTACGTCATTTTATATAAGGGGTTTCAGCATCTCGAATTTGGTATCCACAGGGGGTCCTAGACCAGTCTCCCATGGATACTGAGGGACCACTGTATTCCATTGTATGAATATAACACAGTTTATCCTTTCCCCTGTTGATGGAAATTTAAGTTCCAATTTTTACCTGTTAGAACTGAGCTGCTGTGATTGCAGGCATTTTAAACAGTGCCCAAGATGGAATTATTCATCTCTCATTTTCCAGTTTCCTATTTTGGTGCCTCTGATTTTCCTTGTCTTAGTGAGTAGTACCACCTTCCTTTCAGTTATTCAGAATAAAACCAATAATCATTCTTGACCCCTTCTTTCTTCTAACATAATTATTGACCCTTTCTTTATTAGGAACTGGCCTTGGTGGTGGAGATAAAATGAATACAGAAGTGATAATCTAGTTATGGTACAGGCAATAAATGAGACAAGTATAAGAGTACATACAGGATGCTTTAGGACTCTAGGAGTACAAAGGAGACACCCAGCCTGCGAGAGTTTAGGAAGGCTTCCTGGAGGAGGAAATAAATGAACTGAATTTTGAAGGGCACGAAAAAGTTAAAGGGAAGTAAGTACCACAACAAAGGAGTAGCATTGCTGAGTTTGGTGGGGTGAAGAAAAATTTTCTGTGGCATTTAAAGCAGGGGAATGATAATATATTTGTGCCTAATAAAATGTGGAAGATGAATTGGAGTAAGGCAGTATTAGAAGCAGTGAGATCTGTTATGAAATGGTAGAGTATTCCAGGCCAAAAGGGATGAACTAAGGGATTGTGTGGGAATTAGGGAGAGAATGTTGGCCCTCTAAGAGGGCATTTGAGGAAGTGTTGAATGTTCGTGGAAGAGTGATATGAGGAAAGAAGAACATGCAACATGTTAAAATGTTTGAACTTAAGTCAGCTGTTGCTGTTGTTTAGGCATGGGGTACGGGACTAGATTAGGAGTGAAAAATAAATTTGATAGATTTGGTTTTAAATTAGATGGTAAGAATTAAGCAGAGAGAACTCCATAATGACTTCTAGATTTTTAATCTTAGTGACTAAGATAACTGTGGGCCCACTGAAAGAATAAAGAAGTCAGAAAATGGAGCTTGTAGAAGGGGATGAATTCCCTTCTGAATATATTGGTTTTAAAGTAATAGGGAGCATATCCAAGTAGAATTATTCAATATATAGTGGGAAATACAAGACAAGAAAATTGAGGCTGGGACTAGAGACATATATTTGAATCATTTACTTGCTTAGAAGTCATCCAGGCCACAGAAATGAACTTTTTCTTTTATTCAACCAAAGTGTTTCAAGGCCCAGGTTACAAAGGTGAGAAGACCTGTCTGACTGGCAGACAGGAGTTCTGTGAGTCTAGAAGGATATAGTATGATTAGAGTACAATGAGAACAAACAGGAAGGGGCCTCTACATGGTCTACCTGGGGGAAATTACCGTTTTACAAAAGAAAAAAATGCTTCACAAATTTATATGGGTTCAGTTTGAATGGAGAATGTGTAAAGGAACTATTAGAACCTTTAAGCATATCTGTCTTTACGGGATAGGAGAAAGGGGGAAGCCGTTAGGAAAGCAAGTTTGAAGAGCAGGGAGTGCAACCTTACAGGCGCTGACAGGTGTGATCAGTAGTGTCAGATGTTTTGAGGAGGTCAAGCTATAAGGACTCAAACAAGAAAACCCTTTATAGAACATTTAGTTGGGCGTCGCCCAAACTGGTAGTGAAGTAAATAGGGGGCAAGGTGGGGAAAATCCGCCAATTTGTAATAGTACTTATAAAAGGAAAATCATTATTTGATTTAAATGTTTGGCCAAACTTCAAAAACAAATAAAGCTATTCTGTGCTAATTCAAACCACAACTTGTAGTTCTCCAGCTTTTTACAGGATTGCAGACTGTGTGGGGGATGGATACAAATTATTCTGTTGATTGATACACAGTAATGGCCCAAACAGATGTCCTGTAAAGCTGCTGTAGTTTATGTCTCTCCTTTTTCAGAAGGGCACAGTTCATTGTTTTGACTGAATCCTACCTGGGAGTAGGAGTCTTGGTGGCTTTGGGGCTGCACAGTGAGAATAAACTGAAATGGTGACGATGCACGTCAGTTGGGGAGGCTCGTAGAGGTTGATGTTTGCAAGATGCAGCTCTGTTTCTTCCTTCCTTCCCTCCTTCCTTTCTTCTTTCCTTCCTTCCTATTTATTTTCCTTATTTTTTTTTGGCTGCATTGGGCCTTAGTTGCAGCACACGGGATCTTCGTTGAGGTACACAGGATCTTTCATTACCACACTTGGTCTCTGTTGCTGCACTCAGGCTTCTTACTAGTTGCGGCCTGAGGGTTTTCTCTCTCTAGTTGTGGTGCGCGGGCTCCAGGGCGCATGGGCTCTATAGTTGTGTTGTGCGGACTCCAGAGCACGAGGGCTCTGTAGTTTGCAGCACGCAGGCTCTCTCATTGAGGTGCGTGATCTCAGGAGTTGTGGTGCGTGGGCTTATTTGCCCCGAGGCATGTGGGATCTTAGTTCCCCAATCAAGGATCGAACCCACGTCCCTGTAGCTCTGTTTCTAATCTGTTATTTTCCCCTATAGGTTTAACCTTTTTATTCAGCAAAAATGTGGATTCAGAAAAGCACCCAGGAAGGTTGAACCTCGAAGATCAGACACAGGAAGAAGTAGTGAAGCATACAAGAGAAGTGCTTTGATTCCTCCTGTAGAAGAAACAGCCTTTTATCCTTCTCCTTATCCTATAAGGACTCTTGTAAAGCCTTTGTTTTTTACTGTTGGGGTAAGAGCTCACGTCACTAGGAGTTACCTACCTTGCTGCAGGTGTAGTGTTAAAGTATCAATACTACTTGTCCTATTTGGGCTCCCTTAAAGACAAGTGGAGTGGGATCAGAAGGATCTGGGGTCATGATTACAATAGAACATGAATTTAATAATTGCTGTTAGAGTATGGGTCATTTATGTAAGCCCTGGAGAAGAAACTCATGGACCTCTTATTTGGTATAACAATGCAAGTGATACTGAGTTGATATTTTGAATTTTATTGGAAAAGTTCTAACTAAACAGGCCCCAGGATACTGTAACGTTAATAAAATGGGAAACAATTAAGTGTTCTTTTCACCTAGTAAGTTTCAGTGTGCCATATGTTCCTTATGTTTATAAAAAGCAATGAAAATGAAATATCATCCTTGGAACTATGTATAGATCTATTAAAAAATTTTTTTTTGTAATATATTTATTTTATATAGTTTACAGGCTGTGCATTTGGATCAGCTGCCATTTGGCAATATGAATCACTGAAATCCAGGGTCCAGAGTTATTTTGATGGTATAAAAGCTGATTGGTTGGATAGCATAAGACCACAGAAGGAAGGAGACTTCAGAAAGGAGGTAAAGTTAAACATGGCATTTGTTTTGTTGTAGTTGGTCAGTTTTTGAAGTCTGGTTATTTATGAAGTGTTTTTAGTTAATGGCAACATTAGATCAGTAGATGTGTAGTCATTGCAGTTAATATTCTTCTTTAGAGTCATTTCATTGTAGTAAGTATTAATGTTTCGTATGTCTGGCAACGTTATACTTAACAGTGTTCCAAGAAGTTTGTCCTTCTACCCACATATCAAGAATCACCACAGATAGTTGTTAAAAATTAATGTTTTGGAGCCTCTTCCAGCTCTACTAAGGGCAACTGTTTTACTTTTAGAGTACATATTAGAATCACAGGGAGTTTTATGCTTGAGGGGTAGAGATGCTATGTGGGTTTTAAAAAGCTTCTCAGTGACATGATGTTTATATATCTCTGATAAATAACCACTGTTGATGTTTTTTCTAACTGTGCTCAGGGGATCAAGATGCAAGAAAAGGGTACAAATATAGAGCTTTTAGAATTTTTCATTATTTCATATGCAAGTTGATGGCCTTTCTTCCACCTAACTGATTTTCTTAAAATGTTGCCTTTTAGGTAAAGCGTATATTTTATTTCATTTGCCAGTACTTACTGAGCAGAGACCATAGGCTAATTTGTGGATCCAGGTCCATTTATTTTTCAAGCACCTCCGTATTTTTTTATGACACACTGCTCTTCCAGTTTGGAGAGAGTGTTGATATCCTCTTCAGTTTTCTCCTTCCTAGGAACTTCTTATTCCTGGCTAGTGAGAGAGCAGCCTTGGGTTTTCTTTTTCCTAATGATAGCTGAAGGTTCCTCTAAGTAGGGAGAAGGATTCATTCCTCCTTGTTTCCCCATAGACACAAGAAGCATGAGCCTACCAGTTCTAGAGAGGCTTTATGTCAGAAGAACAATGGTTGTAATATTTGCAGGTAAAACCTGCAGGAATGAGCAGTGGTTTTTATTCAGTACAATATGTTTGAGAAGATAGTAACACTGACCTATTCCACAGTCCTGGATCCCTTGAAAGCTACAGGCTTCTGCACTGTAAAGTTTTTTTTTTTTTTTTTTGCGGTACGCGGGCCTCTCACTGTTGTGGCCTCTCCCGTTGCGGAGCACAGGCTCCGAACGCGCAGGCTCAGCGGCCATGGCTCACGGGCCTAACCGCTCCGCGGCATGTGGGATCTTCCTGGACCGTGGCACGAACCCGTGTCCCCTACATCGGCAGGTGGACTCTCAACCACTGTGCCATCAGGGAAGCCCACTATGAAGTTTTGATACCCAAATTGTTCCTTGGAATGGTGAAAATGACACATGTAATATACATAATCTTCATCCAAAGATGGATTTGTTTAAAGTAGTTAAATGATAAGAGATAAAATATAAAATCCATGTTAAAGAAAACTGAAATAACACATAAATATAACATGGGAAGTGAAAGCCCTGGGAACCTGTGCCCCACTACTACATATGCAGTGAGTAAGGTCTGAGAGTTCAGACACATTTAAATTGTTATTGACCTTGAACAACTGGGGTTGGAGTGCTGACCCTCCACGCAGTGGCACATGTGCCTGTAACTTTATAGTTGGGCCTCTGTAACAGCGGTCCCACATCTGTGGATTCCAACTACGAATGGTGTAGTATATTGTAGTACATATTTATTGAAAAAAATCTGCATGTAAGTCCAGTGCAGTTCAAACCCCTGCTGTTCAAAGGTCAACTGAATTACAAAAATGGAATAATTGTTGTGCATGAATCAAATATATGTTGATCTGTAACTTTTTTTCTTTACCTTGGGTTTCTTTCTGTATTAGTATACAAAGTCTGGTTCAGTTTCATAGTTAGAACATAGTTTTTTTTTAATTAAAAAACTTTAATCATGGAAAATTTCAAAGGTAAAGTAAAAAGAGTGAAGAGAATAGTATAATGAACCCCTGTCATCCATTGTCAACAACTGTTGACACATAGCCAACTTTGTTTCTTCTAGTTCCCCTTCTTTCCCTTCCCTCCCCACCACTGATTACTATAAAGCAAATTCTAGGCATATATCATCTATAAAATTTCAAGGTGTGTCCCTAAAAGATTAGGATTCTGTCTTTTTCTAAACCTCAATCTAGTATTATACCTTTAAAAAAAAAAAGGCAATTTTAGTAGAAAATATTCTTGGTTAGAATTTTAAAACTAGATTGGGTCTTGGTGAACAACCACTTGATAGTGTGCTAGGTACTTTATGTTATTGATATTCCTCACAGTGGTATTGCTATATATCTGTTACTGTCTCCATTTTATGTATCAGGAAACTGAAGTGTAGAAGTAATTTGAGGTCACAGAGCTTATCAGTGGCTTTGTGTAGAGAATGCAGGCTGTCTGACTATAAAACACCTGTGTTTTCCACTCTGTCACATATTTGTTATGTCTGTTGTTCAGTAGAGATTTTTATAGACGAGGACTCTTTCATTTATGCACAAAGAATTTTCTTTCTTTTCATTTATGTAGCCTGAAATTATTTACCATATGGTGATATGCAATTTTTCTTCTGTTTTAGATTAACAAGTGGTGGAATAACCTAAGTGATGGCCAGCGGACTGTGACAGGTTTGTGTTAGCTTACACGTTTTAGCCATTCAAGGGAAGAGAAATCAAACCAAAAGGTACAGTATGTCATAGTCAATGGCTTTTGTACCATGCTCATCAGTGGTTTAGAAGACAGAGTTTCTGTACCTTCAGGCTAATGTAATGGTTTGAAAGTAGTGTGGCATAAAGGTATACATGAGGCTCTGGGTCAGTTATTTTCTAATTTTGATCTAGTATGATATTGATCAAGTGCTCTATCTTTGTTGTAAAATCCTAGCTTGTGAAATAGGTTATGAGTAATTATTACTTTCCCATTAAAGTAACTAAAGGGGACATTGATTAAGTACCTTCTTTATGCAGCATGCTTTATACATATTCTCTCTGTACCTCACAGGGTTGCTTACAGGGTAGTTATCTCCCTTTTTACAGATAAGGAAACTGGCTTTCAGAGAAGGAACTTTTCGAAGGTCACATTGCTAGTAAGTAAGAGCTGAGTTTCAAAACCCAGGTCTGTCTCATCCTAAAGCCGGTTTTCTCTTTTCTGTACCATGCTATTTATAAAATCCTCTTTAAATGTAAGCATAACATGTATATCACCATGATAATTTGTTTTTTAAAATTTTTATGGAAGACAGATCTGGCTCTTCAAGGTAACACTTGTGCAATATATTATGGACTTAGTTATTTTGAGAAATTTGGGGAAATGGATTTGTAAGTTCTTTAACAATTGTGCAGATAGGGAAAAAAATCTTCCTAGAGAAATACCAAAATAGTGCTTTTCCTTAAATATAGTTAGACTTAATGGTACTCTTAATTTTATATACCTACTTAAGTGGAGAAAAGGTGCTTATGTTTCTTCATTCAGACTATGTCTGGAAGGTTTAATTTTTCTGTCTCTTTGGTAGAACCTGATCCTGTCTTCAAGCTTATGGTTTAGACATTGCTTCCTGCAGGAAGTGCTTTTTTTCTGAACTCATTGCACTTTTTAATCACTTATAACACAACCTGCCTTATATAATTGTACATGTATCATCTTTGAGGACAATGATGAGATTCATTTTGCTATAGCTCCTAGCACATACCTGGTACACAGTAAAGGCATTCAATTAAAATCTATTGAGTGAATGAATGTCGATGAGATCTTGAATCAAAAGATTGAGATTTTTCAAAGTATATTGCCATACTGTATAATTGATTAGTTAGTGAGGTCTTAATAAATATGATAACTTCAAAAATAGCTATGTAATAACACATGTTTCCATTGGAATTGGGATTTTTGGTTTGTTTGCTTGTTTTCTGAAAATTAATAGCCTTTCCTTAGGGTAGCAAAGTTTTGATTTCTTTTGATATTTTCAAAGTATCTCACAATTAGTTGATACTTAGTGTTCTTTGAAGATTGTGAAGATTTAACATTTGAGGAAACCTGGGACCAGAATTTAAAACCTTTTTCATGCCAGGAAATGGTTTATCCAGTGAAGTTGGTATTTGGAGATAATTAAAAATCAGAATTCTTTCCCTTAGATGACGTTGCAGTGTAACTAGCAGCTTGAGTATAAAGTACTTTGAACCACATACATGTGAATGGTCATGCTAAAGACCTTAAATACTTATTGTCAGGTTAGCTAAGTGACTTAAAGGCTGAGGAAATGCTCTTTGATCTGTTCAGTGTCATATCAAACTCCTTCAGGAAATAATTATTCTGGTAGCAGTGAATCTAGCCTCACTGCTGGTGGTGCTTTATAATCAGTTAGCTATGTACTAAAATTTCAGTGGTTAATAAACTTGTGCTTTAGTTATATCTTGTCTCTTTTCAGAGGTGCCAGGTCATTCCACTGACCTTGCTTAGCCCCTCGATTGCTTCCTTTAGGCTGATTCTAAGTGAGGTTGGCTCAGCTCCTGGCTTTTATTGAGTATGGGGTGACAGATTCATTCTGTGCCATATTTTCCTTGGATTGTAGCTGTTCTCTGAGTGTTTTTCTTTTTGTATTTTGAAAGAACTTGACAAGTCCTTAGGCCACTGACCTAGAAAGTTTCAAAGCTCTGTGAGACTAGTGTGCTTCTTTGCTCTGTAGTATTCACACCTAGACACTGGCAGCTTGAAAGCTGTAGCAGGTTAAAGATTTCGCAGTTTAACACCAAACATTTCATGTAAGAATTCCTTGCTATCTGAACCTAATGTGCTCATGGATTTGGATGGCAAGATTTTGGTTATAGCAAGTTCAGACAGCAAAATGTTTTATCCAAATGCATTTGTTTCCTGAGCTTGAGGTGTAACAAGGGATATCTCAAATTTATCCATATCTCTTTTGAGTCCTAGGTTTGGATAAGAACAGTTCAAATCATAAGGGATACCTGTAATTTACCTTATCTTTAAGGTGGAATCCAGTGGTGAGGTGAAAAACCTCCCTTAGAGCTGATAGCAGTTTTGGAGTCCCTAGTTTTTGACTCTTCTAGCTCAATCTGTCCCTGGAAATCATTTGTCGAGGTCTACCAGAGAACTGGTCTTAATCACTTAATCTTTTTTTTTTCTTATCTGGTTTAGGGATTTTTTTTTTGTCTTAATTGTTGCACAGACATATCTCCCCAAACTTCACATTGCTCTGAAAAAGTTGTTATAAGTTCACTTGGTGTTTGTAGGATGAAGGGGGAGCATCAAGTAGCATTCTTCAAAGTTAGGCTTGTCCCTGGTACTTTTATATTTCAGCTGGTCTCCTGTATTGCCTTGCTCTGCAAGGCTTTTTTTTTTTTTTTTGGCGGTATGCGGGCCTCTCACTGTTGTGGCCTCCCGTTGCAGAGCACAGGCTCTGGACGCGCAGGCTCAGTGGCCATGGCTCACAAGCCCAGCCGCCCCGCGGCATGGGTGATCTTCCCGGACTGGGACACGAACCCATGTCCCCTGCATCGGCAGGTGGACTCTCAACCACTGTGCCACCAGGGAAGCCCTCTGCAAGGCTTTTAAGCCTGTAGTAGAGGTCCCAGGCAACCCCCAAGGAGAGTATTTCCCCTACATTTCTAGCTTTTAGAGATGCCTATGAGGCACTCGTCATAGTTTTAGTTATTTCTGGGGAAAGGATAACAAAACTAATGCTTGAGTGCCAGCTAGGCTTCAAGTACTATGTTAGGTACTTTATGGACACACATATTACTGTTAATCCTTATTATTAATCTTTTTAAAAATAAATTATTTATTTATTTTTGGCTGCGTTGGGTCTTTGTTGCTGCGCATGGGCTTTCTCTAGTTGTGGCGAGTGGGGGCCACTCTTCATTGCGGTGCATGGGCTTCTTATTGCAGTGGCTTCTCTTTGCTGCGGAGCACGGGCTCTAGGCATGTGGGCTTCAGTAGTTGCAGCACGCGGGCTGAGTAGTTGTGGCTCGCGGGCTCTAGAGTGCAGGTTCAGTAGTTGTGGCGCATGGGCTTAGTTGCTCTGCGGCATGTGGGATCTTCCCAGACCAGGGCTGTGTCCCCTGCATTGGCAGGTGGATTCTTAACCACTGTGCCACCAGGGCAGTCCTTAAGAGCCCTGTTACTGGTATCCTCATTGTTCAGATGGGGTAAGTGAGACTCAGAGAGGTTAAATAACTTGTCTGAGATCACACAGCTAGAAAGACTGGAGATGGGAAACAAACTCCTTAGTTCAAATAATATGCGTTTTATTACATCCATTCACTTTCTGCTATATCAAACCACCACTAGTTACCTTTCTGATAAACCACACTGCCTTTCCCCATCTCAGGTATCTGAGTGCTAATTCATAGACCAATTTGCAGCAAATTGTCCCAGGGCAGCAGGCTGGCATTCAGTGAAGAAAGAGGGACGTTTTCGGCTACTCGGTTTGTAGTTTGTCATTGTAAAATGAATAAATGTGCATAGTAACATTAAAATAGAGAATACGTAAAATAAAAAATAAATCTCTCTCACTGTAGACGTCCAGTTCCACCCCCATAACCATTGCCTTTTTAGCTGCTTGTGTATTCTTCCAAAGCACCTGTTTATATATAGACATTTATATCTGTATCTAACTATGGTTTAAACACAAACGGTAGCATGTAATGCATACTCCTCTACACCTCCACACCTCCTCTACTCCTCTACACCTTTATTTTTTTTCACTTAGTATTTTAAAGGACATTCCATATCGATACAAGTAGGCCTATTGTATGCTTTTTTTTTTTTTCTGGTATGTGGGCCTCTCACTGTTGTGGCCTCTCCTGTTGCGGAGCACAGGCTCCGGACGCGCAGGCTCAGCGGCCATGGCTCACGGGCCCAGCCGCTCTGCGGCATGTGGGATCTTCCCGGACCGGGGCACGAACCCGCATCCCCTGCATCGGCAGGCGGACTCCCAACCACTGCGCCACCAGGGAAGCCCCTGTGTGTTTTTTAAAAGTATTTTATTGAAGTGTAATATACATAGAAGAACATGCACATGTCAGATGTACAATTGATTTTCACAAACTGAGCACATCCACATAACTAGCACCCAGATCAAGAAATGGAAATTACCGGGCTTCCCTGCTGGCGCAGTGGTTGAGAGTCCGCCTGCCGATGCACGGGACACGGGTTCGTGCCCCGGTCCGGAATGATCCCACATGCCGTGGAGCGGCTAGGCCCGTGAGCCATGGCCGCTGAGCCTGCGCGTCCAGAGCCTGTGCTCCGCAACGGGAGAGGACACAACAGTGAGAGGCCCGCGTACAGAGGCAAAAAAAAAAAAAAGAAATGGAAATTACCAGCACCCCAGGATCATTCTTTTTAATGGCATTGCAGTAGTCCGTGCAAATGAATACTATTGTAACAGGTCTTCTATTAATGAATATTTAGGTTGTCTTTAGTCTTGCTTTCATAGGAGGTTGGAAGATGGATAGTCTCTTTGGATTTCCTCTCGATTTCAGGAAGCTGTGGAACCAGTCCTTAACTTATTTTGTGGATACTCCCCAGAAGGAGAAATTACAGCCACTGTATGAGGCCGACAGAATGATCCCAGTGCTTGTAGTCCTGGCTCCCAGGAAACCTGAGGACCGCTTGA